CATAAATAAAATATCATTAAGATTTATAACAAAATTTTAATTTCTTCGTTAATATTTTCTAAACATTTATGATTTATTTATCTAAATGATATCTTTCAAAATACGATGATGAATGCAAAAAATTTTTATGAAAAATGATATTTAATTTAATAAAAAAAGAATAAAAACTAATACAATATAAATAATTAAAAAATATTATTCGTGATAATCATTATTAATATCATATTATTAATGATATCTAAATATAATGAGATGAAACAAGATTTATATATTATTTATTTATATTTAGATATTTATAAATTTTTCAAAAGAAACTTTCGATATTTTACTCTTCGATACTTGCGTTTCTATTCATTTCCAAGTAATCATAAAAAAACTGCAAGTAAATATCTTAAGTATTTATTTAAAGATTGAATTTTTAAAAATTTTTTTCAAGATATCATTATTATTTCAATAATATTTAAATATATATCAAATTATAAAAGTAGCTAAGTTAAAAAAAATCAATATTTCAGCTATATAAATTAATTATTAGACCATACGAAATTCAATTATTAATTAAAAAATAAAAAAACAATTAAACTATATACATTTGAAGCAGAAGTTAGTTATTATGTTATTAAGTTATTTCGAAATTTTTCTTTTCAAAAAAAAATTGCACATCTAATCAAAATTTGGTATCTGAAGTTAATTCAACTCGTGCCTCTAAACTATATCTGTCAACAACAATGGAATGGTTATCATGCATAATTACCCGGATAAACAAGTAACAGAAATGGAACCAAAATGACCAACACTAATAGACTGAAACTAAAGTGCAACAGCAATGAAATACCGAGAATATCCACGAAATTGATTGCGATCATGATTGTGATTATTTGCACCTTTTTTTTTCAATGATCCAGAACCGGAAGTGAATCAACGATACTCAAAAATTGGCGAGTTTTACTAATTGTAATCGTACAAATAATAGTCGCACGTACGAGGATCGACACAGTATTACTGACTATGCTGTCTATAGATGATTATGTTCCGAAGACGTGGCCTTTGACCTCGTTGCAAAAGACCAACCAGACAGTAGTTCAATGATATTGCGAAGCTACTGTCTTTTAGTCTCGTTATTTCCCCTCAATCTTCTGAGATTCGCAATACGATGATTCGAATAATTTATCGAAGTCCATAAGATCGAATCCAATTATGGGTATGTTTAATTATAGGCAATGATTCAAAATAATCGGTGAATCTTTTGGTCTCTGATCCAGGTTAGGGAATCATATAAAATCACGTTAAAATATAAGAATTCATCGTTCGTTAAAAAATAACAAATTTTTATGGATAATAGGCTTCTTGTAGAAAAAAGGAATTAAGAAATCCTTTGTAATAAACTAATGATAATTTTATAATATTTTGAATATAAATTGATAGTATGATTAATTATTTATTAGTTTGATGAGACATGATTAATGATTTTAATATTTGATATGATTTAATATTTGATAATGATTTAATATTTGAAATCGAATTGGAATTTTTTTTATATAATTCTTTTATCTTTTGTTGTAAAATAATTATCTTGTTCAAAAGTGATTGATATATGATTATAAATTGATTGATGAATATTTAAAAAGAAATTCATATTTAAATCGATAAATACTTTAGGAAAAAAAATATACAAATATTAATCTTTTATTTTATAAAAAATGTATTCACAAAATGATATATTAATATACATATGTTTACAATCGATTTTTTTAAATTAATTTTTTTATATAATATTTTATATAAAATATGTAATTACTTCTACAATCTAAATCTTTCTAACTAATTTAGAGAATATTGTATTCCTCCAAATTTGTGAAGTCTTTAAATAGCTTAGCAATCATAATAAAAACAAAATAAAAAATATTAAATAATTGAATTTTTATAAATTTTTTTGTTAATCAGCACATGCAGTCAATTTTCTTAAAAATGAAATTGTAACAATATTGCATGTATTATGCAGTAATTTTGTGCAAATTTTAATATCAGTTCTTTCTTTTTTTTTAATTTCATTCTCCACCATCAAGTAATGGCTTATTAGGTTTATCCCGTTTAGCATTATGATAAAGATATGAATGTACACGTAAACTGTTACTATTTTTATATTTATTACCACATAGTCTACATGTTAGACTTTCAAGTGGACCGTGAATATATCGAACATGTAGTTTCAAATTTTCTTTACGTGTAAAATGACGAAGACACCATGGACATGAATACATTCGAATAACTTTGCCTCTTTCCATACGTAAAGTTGGTCCCAATTCAGATACAACACGCAAAGTTGTTTCTAATGGTAAACTATTGTTAGAAATACCTTTAACAGTACGTCGACCTTTACTATGACAACCAGTTTCATATGTAAATTCATTTTCAAAACCACTTATGTTACTTAAACCTATTAAATGAATATAAATAAAATATATATTATTGATAATTATAATTATTTAATAATTTGTAATAAAGGTATTTTGAAAATATATAAAAATTATAAAATTAATATATTATTGAATTAATGAAAAATTAATATTATTAAATTGATAAGATAGATATAAAGACTTACTAAATGGTTGAGTTTGGGCATTCTGATTGTAAGGAACTAATTGCATATCTGGTACATAATCTATAAAATATAATATTTCTTATTTCATTATATCAATATTTGTCACATTATGAATAATTGAATTACAATAAATTTAGATTTGAAACTCAGTAAATAAATATATAATTAATTTCACTATAAAATTAAATTATATGTAAAAAAATTTTGTACAATTAATCACAAAAATAATTGTGTCAAATCTTTTGTTTTTCAATAAAACAGTTGTAATTTTTTCACTGATTTTAATCATTTTATTTAGAATATTTATTCATTTTATTTTGGAATATTTATACAAATTAAATAATTTTCCTGCTTCAAATCTTTATTATCATCAATCTATTAATTTATAGTTTCTTGTTTCTTCTAAATGATTACACTAATAATATATTATATAAATAATTACCTTTTGTCTCAAAATTTTCATCAGATTTATAAAGTGATTCATTAGGCAAACATGTTTTATATCCTGTTTCTGTATCTATATCAAGTGTATAATCCAATGGTTCATGCTTTGTTGATTCTATGTGAGTTACATCAGCTGTACAATCCAATGGTTCATCTTCTAAATTTGTTGAATTGTTTTTTTGTTCCATATGAGGATTTTGCACATTATAAGTTGAATTAGAAATAGAATATTGTTGATAACATTTATCACTGACATTTTTATTCTCTAATGATAGTTCATCATTGTGTAATTCATCTTTTGATAGAACATGTTGTTTTTGGCATTGTTGATTTTTCTGCACAGGTTTTTCTTCTTTTGAAATCAAAGTATTTGCATTTGAATTAACAAAATTAATACTGTTGTTTTCTATATTCAATATTTGATCTAAATTTTCTGCATTCTTTGTCAAATTTTCTTCAAATTTCTACAAATTAAAAATAAATTCTTTTATTGCACAATTAATTTATTATCTGATTGAACATACCTCTTCTGTTCCTGTGGTTAATCCTTTTATTTGTAAACTTTCTGCTACTTTTAAGAAACTAGCAATATCTTCTTGTTTAATATTTACTTCTCCTTGGTACATAAAGTGAAGCATTGCTGACAGATCACGATAATTGACATCTTTTAAAATCACAATTGGATGTTTACAAGAATTTCCCTATATTATTATAAATATCTTATTATCATAAAACAAATATAAATTATATTAAATAAGTTAAAATATACCTTGAATAATTCCCTAAAATATGGACTACAAACTGATAATATTAACTTATGCGCACGTAATATTTGACCTTCTGCAGCTAATGTTACATCAACTAACTGCTCATCAGTTAATAAAGTATATAATCCAGAGGACAAATTTCTAGGAAAACTATTCCAAACTAAAGAAAACTGTTCTCCAGACATTATTTCTTTAAAATTGTTTGTTTAACTGAAAAATAAACATTCACAACAAATTACTCATAAATGAATATGAATCACAAATACTTTATTTTTTATTTATAATTCTTGCAAATTTTTTTAATTTTGTTTTTACAATTTTAAATTACATTTTAATTTGAATTAAAAAAATTTATTTATATATATACTTCTGTCAAATTATTAATTAAAATTTTCAAGTCATATGAATGACTAGAATTATTTTCAAAAACAAAAAAATATTGTCATCATTAAAGAACACATTGATAATAAATAAAAAATAAACATTTTAATTGTTTAAAAAGTTAACCTTTATTGATACGCAATTTGATGATTTGACGAAAATAATCCACTACAACTAAAATTCGTTATGTAAACAATACGATATTAATAATTACAGTATAATTTGCGCTTAAAAATGTTTATTCCATTTCATTGTCAGTATTTTCTTAGAGTTTCTTAGGAATTATAAAGAAACATTTCATCGATTTCCAAATAGTTCATGTTTAATTGCAATTTATAATTTATAAAATAATTGTTTTATGATTCAAAAAATATTTAAAGTGATATGAAATGGATATACAAAAATGAATAATTTCGGATAAATTACCGCGCTTTTTAATTATAAATAAATTTTAATTATATACTAACATTATTATACATTTGAAAAGTGCAAATTATGATAAATATTTAATAAAATACTATACACTATTAATTTATCTTGCCTTTGTTTAATACGTAATACTATGAGTTATGCTATCTATATATATATGTTTGTGTGTGTGTGTGTGTGTATAATATCAACAGCCTATTTTGATGTCAATTACTTATATGTGTAATTTTATGGGTTTATTATAAAATGGTTTATTATAAAATGTTTTCAAATTTTATTTATAAATTATAAATTGAAAATAAAAAATATCAAGATAAATTATTATACTCGTAATTCAAATCATTTCTTAACGTTTATGATATCATATAAAATTTTGACATTACAAGTTTAAAATTCTTTAAAATTAATTTGAATCATATAATTTTTGATAAAATTAAATTATTTTAATCATCATTTTCTTCATCAGTTTCACGTAAACGAAAACATTTCCATAAACCATAGCGAGCTTCCCAATCTACAAAAAATAAATCTGGTTTGTTCCAAAGAATATGATGTGCAGCAAAATTATATTGAGATTGAATAGGAGGATTTAAATGCGGAGCCCATTGTGCCCTTTCCAACATTATTTTATTCACATATTCGTAAAATACATCAGCTTTATGAATCCAACATAAAAGAGACATAATTGCTATCACTGTTGCATGTATATGATATGATATTTCAATATGACGTTTATTTTGTCTTTTTAAAGTTATATCTTGCAAATTCATTAAAAGACAAACTACAGCTGCTGCTGTAAATCCACATGGAACTTCTACAGCAATCAGACATATTGTACAATATATTGATTCTAAATTCATACGTGATGAACAATGATTTAAAATACCTTTTAGAAAACTGTCATGTAAAATTTCTCTATGAAATTTACAGAATAGTTTATCTTCTTTATAATATCGTTCTATTTTTATGTCAAAGTTAGCATCTTCAAAAAATATCTTAGGTGTATCAAAATTTGCTTTATTTTCTTTTCTATCAAGCAAATATTGAATAACTCGATTACCTAATAAGCTGCTTATCTTACTTGTTGATGCTATCATTTCCATTAATAATGGAAATATCTTTGGAGTTAAAGTTTTCTCATATAATGTTACATTATGTATGAAGGCTATATATTCAAGTGTACTACCAAATTGTAATATAAATTCATCAGTCATTTCTGTTTCAACAACCCATGAACACATGTGATGAATTATGATGAGAAGATGATAATTATATATATGTTTTACCATATTAATAATACAGACTTCCAAACTTTTCTTAAGTGTTGCATATGGTATATAATTAACTGTTGATTCTGTAGTAGTTATAGAAATATAAAAAAGATTTAAAATTCTTTCAATAACTATTATTGTATCATGAGTATTTGGCCATTCATAAACATTTAATAATTCATATAATATTCTCATGATTCTTTTTGAATCTTCTATATTCATATTTGGACCTTCAATTTTATCCCATATAGCATGAAACATTAATGATCCATTAAGACCATATTTCAATAAATCACATATAAGTTCAAAACAAAAAGTTTCAAACTCCCAAAGCTTATTTTCACAAATTGTATCAAGTATAATTTTAAGAGTTTCTTTAGACTTTGTAGGAATATATATTTTCAATAAATTATTGTAACATTCTTTTGCATGTCGATATCTTTTTCTTCGTTTGTATAATATGCATATATTATATAAATCAGTTCGAAGCAATATATCATAATAATAAAAATAAACTTGAATAATACATACAATAATATTATTTGGATCATAAATTATCAATTGATGTGGTAACGCATGTTTTGTTATACGAATTATATTATTAAGTACTTTATGTTGGTCGCGTGATAAATCTTTACACATTCGTTGTATATAATCCATTTTATTTTTTAATTCCATGTCAGTAATCATTGTTAAATAATGTTATATTAATACTGTAAAAAATTTGTTTTATTACATAAACAAAAATTTGGTTAGAAATAGTTTTAAGCAAACTGAATTTGCAAACTTTTACATTCGATTTTATTTTGACTATTTTTCTTTATAAATTTTATACAGTTTATTCTGCATAAAAAATAAGATACGCGTGATACTTATAAAATAATTTTCCACTATATATTTACATGTATGTATATATAATATTCATAGATATGTATTATAGGAATTCAGGCGTTCATTTTCCTTTTTATAAAATCATTCATTTTAAACAACATACACATTTCATTTAATTTCAAATATTGAAATTCAATTATTCCTATAAGAAATAAATATTTTGATTTTCTCTTATTCTTTTCTCATTTTGTAATATAATCCTTTTGATTTAAGAAGTAAACTACAAAATAATTTTATTATTAAAAATAAATGATATTTGTTTAAAACCAAAGATCTCCACCAACATCTTCCTCTGGTTGCGGTAATGGTTGTGATGTTTTTTGTTTTTGTTTCGCGTTATTTTCTGTATCATCATCACTTTCAGATACAGCAAGATCATCCTGTATTTTATTCTCACTTTTTTCATCTCTGGCTGGTAAACCAGCTAGCAAAAAGTCAGAAGGATCGTAGTTTGGATCAACATCCATACTTTCGTCTGTAATTTAAAAAAAAAATGGATTAAAGAAACAATAAAATAATAAAAAAAAATATATAAAATATACTTCGTTTTACAATTACCAACCTTGCTGAAGCAATTGTTGGTCCGTCATATAAAAACCGACATTACCCAATTGAACCATTGCTTCCGCTGCTTGTTGACTATCATCATCCGCCAATACTACTCCGCCTTCTGTACCTTCTCTAACTTCATTCAATTCAAGTGTTTCCATTTCAGCATTCTCAGACTGTTCATCCGTACCAAATGGAACCTCATCAAATTCATCTTCACTAGAGAATTGTAAATCTATAACGAAATATATTAATAATTTTTTTATTTAAATAAAACTAAATATATACATATAAAAATATAATATATAATATATAAAAATATATATGAAAAAATTTTATTTACCTTCTTCAAGAACATCTTTTTTTTTAGAATTTACACTTCTACTACCATCACCTTCCATATCTCCTTCTACATCCACAAAATCAAAATCTTCCATGTTCGTTTTTCCAAATGGATTTTCTGGCGAACTTGTTTGACTCTATAAAAAAACATTTTACGTGTTTTATAAAAATTTTTAATAAAAAAAAAAAAAAAAGAAATAAAATTTAATTTATAAATAGATAAAATACCCCTCTAAATTCTGGTTCTACAATAGTATAATTTTCTTCATCTGCTCCAAGCCATGAAGAATCTATGTCTGCTTGTTCCATTGCTCGTTTTTGTACTAATAATATATTGTTTTCTAACTGTGTTAAATGTTCATCATACTAAAATATAATTTAATTATGAGTACAATATTAAAATTTAATCATGATTAAAATATACTTAAACAAACTCAATAATAACCTCATCTAATGTTTCTTTGCAAACTTTCATCAGTAATTCTGCTTTTTGTGTAAATGGAGATTCCTTTCCATTATATACTGTACAATTTTCCAAAATTTGTTCAATATCTCTAAGAAATTCATGACGATTATGATACTTATGTGCTGAAAAAAATAAATGTAATCATGATATTTATAAAAAAAATTCATAATATTTAATATCATTATAAATATAGTTTAAATTACCAGATACTTTTTTAGATATAGTTTCTAAATCCATAGGTCTCTTAATAACATTATAGTAATCTTTCACTAATTTCTTATTAACTGGTTTCAAAAATGGCCAAGCTTCTGTCATAGATTTTAATTTATTATTTACAACATTGTCTAAAATAAAAGTAAGAGCAACTTGATCATTATCATCCAATAAAGGATTAATTGCTTTCTCTAATCTCATCAAACGATCTTCTTTTTCTCCAAGTCTTTCTACACAAGTTTCCAGCATACGTTTGGCTGCCACTGTTAATGAACTTTTTATTCCGTTATATAGAGTTGAATTTTCTACAATTTGATTAACATCAGCCAAAAATTCTTCTCGACTTTGATATTTCTTTAATCTTAAATTTTCACGTATAGTTTGCAAATCCATAGGTCTTTGTATAATTTTATAATAATCAGGAACAGCCTAATAAAGAAATTATGAAAAATATATAGATAAATTATAAAATATATTTATTAAAGCATATTCAATAAAAATAAAATACCTTGGCATTAACAGGAAATAGAAAAGGTTGAACATCAGGTAGGTCTCTCATTTCGTTAAGTATACTTTCTAGCATTGTAGACATAACAACAACAGGATCTGTTCTACGCCTATTGGCAGGTCTCTGTTGTCGTTTAAGATAATCACAATGGTCATCTCCAGTAGCTCTCCTTCGTTTTTTGGAATTTACTGCTTCCTTGGGCACTTTCAAGAGTAACGTACGCCTTTTCATTTCTTCAGCATGCTACAAGAAATATAAAATAAAAATTATAAATTTTACTTTAATAGCTTCTAATTTTTTAACTTTAATGCTTTAATACTTATGCTTTAATAGCTAAATAATTAATTTAAATAATTCAAAATAAATCACCTTAATTAATTTGGATGATAATTTTACTTTAGTTCCATCTACATTAACGAGATCTTGATCATCTGTATTGAGTTGCTTTTCAATCTCTTCCTCCTGTTCCTCTGTCATCGCAACGTTTACTGGTGCTGTAGTTATGCTATTCTGATATAAGGGACAAGCTTTATTCGTACGCATGTGACCTACATTACCGCAAGCACCACATTTTAGTTTAAGATCTGGTTTAAGTTTAGGTTTCTTACGTTTAGAAGGAGATATATCAGGTTTAGGATGTTTAGAAGCAGGAGAAGTAGATTGGAAAGAATTACAGAATGGAAGGATACTATTCGAGGATGTAGTTGTTGGGGTATTGTTACTACTACGATCGAATATATTACTCGATGATGCATTATTTCCTGTCATTGGACCACCAAGCATACGTTCTCGTTCTTGATTCCGTTTAATTCTACGTAATTGCTCCTGAATTCTTCTTTTTTCCCTCTTCATTTCCTCTTTTTGTGCTTCATCCAATGTTGCAAATTGTTTAATAAATGTTTCATCTTTAGAATTTCTAATTTTTATATAAGTATCTATTACCGCTGATTTTCTTACTAATTCTACCCTTGTATATTCTTTGCCTTCTGGATTTCTAAATGTTCGATAAATCTTAAGAACTCTACCCTGTTGTGAATTAAAGTTATTTACAGGACTATCCTCTTCATCATCTTTCTTTTTTTCTTTGGTTTTTTTATCTTGTTCTTGAACTTCTCCCATCAACATTTTTCGTAATTCATGTCGTTGTTGTTCCTCTCGTTCAAGAGATAATTGCGTACTAGTTTTTTTATTGGAAAGCATATTTTCTATATTTTTACCCATCTCTTCTATGTCAGAACTATCTTCCTCAGAACTTTCGCCTTCATCTGTACTTAAAACTTCATTAGAAGATAAAACACGATTTTGTAAATCGAAAATTCTTTGACATTCTTCTTTGTATCTTTCTTGATGCTCAGCAATAGAAAACCGATTTCCTCGAGAAAATTTAGTCATGCCCTCTTCACCAGCTTTAGCCTTTTCTGTAGATAATGTTCTAACAACATCAATTACTTCCCATCGCGATAATTTTTTAATTTCTTCTTCAGGAACGCCGAATTTTCGAAGTAATGCTTTTGCATTGTTTAATGATAATCTTCTTAAATCAGCATCAGTTCCAGTTACAGTTCTCTTTGGTTGAGCTTCTTGTTCTTCCTAATTTATTACAAAAAAAATATTTTAAAATGTACAAAAGAAATTATAATAATAAAACATATACTTACTTTGCTAATTGTAGGTTTATTTGGTACTCGGACATAGGAAAATCCTTCACCACAACCTGTAGGATCAGCTGGTCCTGCCAGTTGCAACAAACATTTACCTTTCATAGCTTGAATATATGCTCGTGTTGTATTCCAAGGTGCAACTTTCACTTCATCATCCATTTTTAATTGCATTTCTTCATCATCGTCATCTTGAGGAGTAAATAGGAACTTTTCACCATATCCAGCATCTTTTAATCTTTGTTCAGCAGCAATCATACTAAAATAAGCGCAACACTGTTCTGGAGAGACCATTGCTCGAATTTCTTCTTCTGTTGGTAATCTAAAGTCAGGTTTTATAACCCACCAATTTGAATCCATGCCTAATAATAGAAAAAATTTTGATATTTATTTAGATATAAAATATGAGGATGATTTAAAAAAATCATTTAATATAATATATATAATATATATAAAATTATAAATACCTGTTCTTTTAAAATCAGCACATAATTTCAAACGTTTTCTAATGCTACTTTCACTATGTGAAGGAAATGCTCTTTTAATATCATCCATTTTAATACGTCGAGGAGTATCTCGAGATTTCCAAAATAATCTATATATAAATACTTGTAAAAAATCTCTCACAAAATTATTAGCTCTCTTTGAGTTAGGACCTGGAACTTCATATAGTGGACATTCTTGACCAGCAACAAATAAAGCATCCACTTCTCTAATATAATATTGTTGTCTACATATTATATACAAAAATTCATTAATAATTCATAATTGCATTTTTCATAATGCAATAAAAAAAATATCATTACAATACCTTGTTCTGATAACTAAAAAATCTGTCTCTGGAATTTTGTGTTCATAGATTGGGGCTCTATACATATTATTTTCAACTGCTTGTATGCTTTGACCAGGTGTAAGAATTCCAAGAAATGGACTTGTATGAGCATAAGCAGTTTCACCATATTTGTATTTTTGTGGTCCTTGATCTTTTCCCGCTTTTCTTTTGTAGTAATTTTTCACTTTAGAACACATTCCTACTTGATTCATTAATGGAGGATGCTCTTCAGAAAATTCAATTAGTACTAATTCACCATCTTTGCCAGTTAAATCTTCAGGAGTTCTCATGAAGAAGACGTCACCTCCGCCAGATGCAATTCTTTCTTGTTCTCTTTGCTAAGATGCAAACGTCATTTAATTTTTGTTTTGAGAAACTATTATAATAAAAT